GTTGAGAATGCTGTCTTGCAACTAGTAACCTGTGGATAGTTACGGTTTTAACTGATTTTTCTGCAGGCTTCCAAACATCCTTTTGTAACAGGGGAACCTTTCACATGTCCCTATAAACCTCCTCCTGAGACCCCTCGCATGGTAAGTTTTAAAATTTTCCATTCCACAGTTGGCCTTTTTATCATTTTGTGTTATTAGATGTTTGTTATGTCATTTTGTTTTTTGTTTCTGGAAGAAAAAAAATTGTAATGCTATTATAAACAAGGCATCAAGGTTGTCCCACCCCTATACAAGAGAGTCAAATCTTTCCAATAGAAGGCAGAATATCTTCAAGTTTCTGTAGTCCTCCTTTTATATGATAGACTTACTTCTAACAAAAAAACTCAAGTTCGGAATCAATGCTCCTTCAAGAAATAGGTGTTGCTTGAACAAACTCTGTTTTTTCTTTTCTTCTATAACACCCAATTAATGGCCGAAAGAGTAAGGGAGATGAAGTTCATTTTCTTGATAGCACAAATTCACCCAAATCTCAGAGCCCACTGAGCCATTAACTGCCCAAAAAATGGGAGGTTGGCTCAAAATCCTCGCTTTTGATAACTTTAAGGTGAGGGAGAATCATAGTCAATGATTGCCTTTGTGTCTGCACCAGAATGGATCCTCCAATCATCTGCTTCTTTGCTGTTTGGAAGCTAGATTGCACAATTAGGGGGATCTTCTAGCCTCCCGAGTAAAAAGAAAACCAATATGAGCCGAAGTCTTTTTCTTTCTAATTCATTCCAATGAAATGAAGGCAAGATCAGTGAAAAAGATTGTGGTAAAAGTTGTTAACCATCTTTAAGAATTGAACTTCTCAAAGCAATGTTAATTAATGCATTTTAATCTAGAAGTGCATTGTTTTCCGAAATTATACTGTGCATCACAATTTGTAACAGAAAAGGAAGTTGACATAATGAGAAAAAGTGATAGCGAGCAGTTGCTACTTGAGTTAACATGGAGCAGAGACACCAAGATACTTTCTCCTTTGGCATCCTTGGTTCTAACTTTATTGGAACCTGGCTCTTGGTGTGATGGAATTGGAATAGGCAGTTTTTTGTTATATCCTAAGCGAAATTAGACCCTTGGAAAAAAATTTGGCATCTAAAAAATAAAAAACTATTGCCCTTGTTCCTCTCTCCATCCTCTAGAGTTTATGGAAGGAGAGGAACCTTTGAGCTTTCTGAAGGAAGGAGATACCCTTCAACAGTACTCACTATGTCTTTGGTTCACAGGTCATACCTTCAATGCAGAGCTTGTGGAACTTGTAGAACTTTTATCTCTTGTGTAAGATTTAGAGTACCTCCATAGGTGGGTGGTACTTCCTCAGTACTTTCTGAATGTTATTTTAGTTTCTCCATTAAAAAGATAAGAGGGCAATCTAAAAAAAGTGACAAAAAGTAACCTTTGACTTTTCAGAATTGATGAACATTTTGAAACATCCTGAATCTCTTAGAAACTTTTGGTCATCCTAAAATTCCAAGTTCCTTTGAAACTAGTGCAAGTACTCCATTTTAGATGGAAGCTTTGTGGTAGATGATACTGGTGGAACTTCCTCTCAGCACAAAATGAATGAGATTTGTTTTTAGTGACCAAGGAGTTAAATAGCAAAGTCATTTCCCTCTCTCTAGCATTCTTTGTCTCATATTTTTCGTAATTTTTAGTTACATTTTTCTACAGCCTGTCACTCAAAATATTAAAGTGGACCATCACCCAGGTGGAGGGCACTGGTTTGCTGCTGGTCTCTCTCCTAATGTGAGTTCTCTGTATTTACTGATGGTTCAATATCTTCATCAATACATATATTATATATATTAAAAATAGTTCATATATATATATATATATATACACACATTTATGATGTTTCTGACTGTTTTCTTTTGTAATTGTTTTGTCCCGTATGCTAAAGTATCTAAACTTTTAATGCAGATTCCAGGCAGGAATAGAGTTTCTCTTCATAACAGCCCACATTTTCACATGGTGCCATACACACATGCTAATAGTTATGGCAGTGTAGGAAGCCATGGTAGCTACAATGATGGCACTGGGCTTGGTAGCAGCTATGGGAGTTATGGAGATAGTAGCAATATGTTTGCATACTACTCACCGGTTGGTCATTCTGGGATGAATATGCATGCACAGGGTGGTATGTCAATGCTTGGAAGTAGCCCTGATGCCAGAAGGAGAATTATGCAGTATTCACATGGAAGTGGACTTGGTATGTCTCCATCAGCAGGAAATTTTGCTCCACTTCCCCTTGGCACTAGTCCCTCACAATTCACTCCACCAAGCTCCTATGGTCAAGTCTCAGGTGGTTCTCCAGGGCATTATGGCCCACCTTCTCCAGCAAGAAGCAGTTGTCATGGATCGCCTTTGGGAAAGATGGCTGCTGTTAGCCAGTTTAACAGAAGAAAAAGTTGGGGATATCCCGGAAGTTCTCAATCTCAAGATAATTCTTCGTCTTCGCATTGGCAAGGACAATCTCTTGATGGTAACCCTAACCAAACCGAGGGAAATTCTCAAGTAATAATTGGATCACCATCACGTTTCCAGTCAAATTCTAGCTCCACAAGCTGGAAGCAGCAGCAAGGAGGCAGCGGAAATACTGCTGGGTACCCCAGTACTCACAATATGCCCAATTCCTTGTCACTTGGTACAAATTTACAATTCCCTCCTAGCAAGGGAGTGGGTCATGAAAATCCTGAGGCTGGCTTGTCGATGCCTGACCCTGGAGATTGGGATCCCAACTACAGGCAAGGATATGATAAAACTTATTTTATAATCTAACATTGGATGCATTTTCCATAATATCAAAATTGATGAGTTCACATTTATTTGTATGTGTCTGCACTCTAAACTGATGTTTAGGGCATGAAAACAACCACCAAGATTTCTATCAAATTAAGAGGAGATATCCTTTTCTTATTCTCACTAGCTTTTTTTATGTGTCTGTGTGTGTTTGGTCTTGTCACTTCTACTATAGTTACTTAAGCTTTGTCTCAAAAGAGAAAAAAAACTATAGTTACTTAAGCTGTTAACAAGAAGCATACAGCACCTGACTCATAGGTCAAGCCTGGACAGCAAATTACCATAAAGTTGCAGGATGTGCCTGTTCTGATGCAGATATAAATTTGGAGAAGTTGTTGCTTGAATGATATACCTGCAGTGATGATTTTAAATGTGCATGTCTTCACCTTTTCAAATATTAGTTGTGCAGGAACTTCTTATCTGGTACTTGCGTAGATTATAAAAGCGATTTCACTGAAAAATCTTAAATGTTATTTTTACCATGCTTTTGCTCAGCTTTTAAGTTTGATTTTCATTGATGTTCTAGTGATGAACTTCTGCTGCAAGAAGATGGCTCAGACGAGAGTTCGTTAGCCACTGAACTTGGCAAAAGTATGCATCTTGGTTCAGCGGAGCCACTGGTCAGTGTTGGAAGATTTAGCCATGCCTCAAACACATGTCGGAATCTACCTATCCAGAGGTAGGTCGTACATTCTGTTAAGTTGATTTCTTGTCTGTCATGTATATGCTGTGTGCAACTTTCACCACCCACTGAATCACTGGTTTATGGGTCTATTCCACGTAATTTATGCTACCTATTATGACTGGCATCATTATTGGATGAATACCTAGCATAACATTTCAGTATTTTAAATTAATTGAATTTGGATAATAAAATAAGTGAACTCTCTTGTATACAGCTCATATTTGATATTCAAAATATTTAGTTGAACATTATGTTTTGAGTTTTCTTTTTTTTTTTTTTT